TTTTTTTTTAATGGGATACAGTGTGACATGGAAATTTAATATAAATTTACCAAACGGTTATGAGTAATTTCCGCAAGTTGTAGAACGGCGGTTTGTCAAGCGATAAAACTATTAACTTGACGCAAAACCGATGTTTTGCAATTTACTTCGAAATGTGAGAGTGCGGCGCGTGCAGGAGACCAGAAAATACTGAACAATCTATTTACATTCGGTCTGACGGTTCAATGCAATTTTATTACAATTCTCTATTCCATCATTTTCAATGCAACATTTGCGCTGAATATGCGGGAAATGAGACGAACACCCGCACAAGAAAAAAAAAAAATGTGTGTCAAACAATCGTTGCAGTCGTTGTTGTTGTTGCCGTCACATTTTGTCGTCTTCGTCTTAGTTGTCGTCAGCAGCAACTTCTTCTCAATGGCAACGCATTATATTTAATTGTTTGTGTGGTTTCCCACAAACCCAAACGAATGGATTTCTGAATGAAACTGTCGAAGCATGTGATAAATGCATACGACATCGGCACATATCGAGTACAGAGTTCAAGCGATAATGAAATTGAACGGAAAAATAATGACTTGGCGTTTTGCTCTTTGTTGTGGCAAGCAGCGTTTTATTTCTACCCAATACCATTGTGCATCGGATGGCCGCATTTATCGTGAGATCACTGTTTGAGGCGCGATCTAAAACCACCAACTAAATCAGTTAACATCATTAAAATATCGTAGTACAATATTACGTAGCAAAGTTTACAAATGAACAGCAAGAATCGGGCAACCGAATAAAATCGTTCGAAAACTTGATTAGGCGCATTTGAAAGTCGCATTCAGTCATCTATTTTTAGATAGTTTCATTTGTTTACCGAATCAGTATTCGACGGGCAAAATACCATGGAAATTTCAATTATCTGCGTCTTTCGGTCGTATATACTTTTGTTGTGGTTGTTGTTTGATTTAGCTCGGCTTCTCCGAAATGAATCTTTTTGGGGCGCAACGTATGTATTTTGATTTAGAACACGATTCATTTCTTCCAATGAATTGTTTGACAAACAAATAAGCAAACAAGAAAGTTTGCATTGGAAAATCCATCGACTGCGGAAGCACATCAGCCACGATAGAAACAATAAATTTTTCAAAATGTTTGTCCCGTTTTTTCTTCGCTCTCCCTCTCCGTTGTGTTTGCAATGGCATTGTGTGTGTGTTTGCCAAACACGAGCTGCATGCAAACGGGCAATTATCATAAAAGCACCTTCGTTAATTTGTGTCAACAAAATCTGATGACTTTCCTTTTATGCCCGAGTTGAGATAGAACTTCTATTTTTGCCCCCTTTTCACTATCCCATCAGATTGTGTGCTGTGCACTCCCATTGTGGCCATCAGAGTGCCCACGTCATCATGGTCTATTCATTCTTGTTAATGGGCCGTATCCAACAATGCCAATCTTGTTGTCGCAATAATTAGAATGCCACATTTTCACGATAAACATATCACATTTTTTGTTCGATTTGAATTCCCCTTCAGCGCTTGCAGGTTGCACAGAAGAAAGAAGATGGCAACAACAACAACAACAACGACGACGACGAAATATATTAAAATATGTCATCAAAATGTTGTTGGATATGAAATGAGCATCGGTATATTTGATGCGCACGAATTGAGCACAAAAGCTCACGAACACCAAGGGCTCCCCTAATTTAATCATAATCCCCTTATTGATGGAAGAAAACCGGTCTTACGAGACGTCACATGGAAAATTTGAGCCTGAACTGAAAAATAACGCAGATAAAAGAAGGTGCTGGCGTTCATCTTCCGCACGCACAATCGTTCTGACATTAAAACCGTCGCGTATTAAGTAATAAAAGCAAAGCGAAATCCATCAAATGATAATACGAATAGATGCTCTTGGCTCCTGACAACACCAATTGTCCCATTAACCAAACCGAATCACAATGTTAATGTGTATGTATGTGTTATTCCAGCGTATAAAACCCATCAATCAGATATTATGGTGATGGCAGCGTGCGTGCGTATATGTGGATGTGAATTCACATTTTACGTGTTTCATATGCTAAATATATTTGTAATGTTTAGTTGCTTTGCATGTGAAATAGGCCATTGATGAATCCGTCTGCACGTGCGTCTATGTATGCTGTATAGCATGTACGGAACATCCGAATTGGCACAAATTCCGACAACAATGTAATATACACGTTATTCACCAGCCATTTATTGTGAATCGGCACAAGAATTTTTTCAATATACAAAATATAAAAGCCAGAGAAAGTAACCAAATTACAGACATCTAGCCGCTTCTCGTCATTATGTGAATTTTTATGGACGGAATTTCAAATCGAGCTGAAAGATTGTTTCCGATGGATTTTCTTAGAACAAACACTAAACTTTTATACTTACTGCTGCTTGATCTAGGCGAAGAAATGTATTCATCAAACCTAGGGGAATTTATGTATTCGCGAATTGACAGGAATTCGCACACGTTTTGACTTCGAATTCATTCAAATATTTCACGAATTTTGCGAATTTTTTGCGAATTGGTCAAATCCATTGACAGCTGGCACCATCTTAGTTGTCATTCGCAGTGACAAAGCGAAGAATGTGAACAATTCGTAAAGAATTCGCAGAGAATGTGCGAATTCGTAACAAAATCGCAATGGAACGATCGAATTCGATAGATTCAAGTGACATAAATACCCCTAGCATCAAACACACCACTTGCTTTCCATGAATGAAACCATTCGCTTTTGCTTAAAGCTATTGACTGACATCGAACACTTTCTGACTTCAAGACAAAGCTGATTTTAGCTGCATGGTTCAATTGAATTTGCGTGCCGTATGTCGCTTGACCAGAATCGTCCACATATCGACTGCTTTTGAAATATTTCCGAAGGCAATACACATCCGGTCCGACCATTCTTCGGCTTCGACAAATTTTTCTTTATTCTAGAGGATTTTGATGTTTACGGTCGTAAACTTATTAATAACAAACATTCTTTACAGCATTCATTACCTTCTTTGATTTGGGTGATGTTCGTCATGTATTTGAACATAAAATATGAAGCACAAAAAATACGACCGAATATTTTTTGAGGGCAGACAATTCCCATAGCGCACTCTGCTGTTGCTCCAGTTTTTCAGCTTGCAATCATTTAATTTTGGTTTTATTCCATTACCAAACATACGAATGCACGAGCACATTTATGTATCAAGTGATTACCGAAATACAGACATTTCGAATGACAGCTCTGCTGCTAACCAAAACTCGGCAGTAAATGGGGTGGAATGCTCATTATAAAGAAATAAAACCAAGTTTCGGTTGAGAATACAAATTCATCCAATTTTGGTACGTATGTTTTGCTACCAGCACACAATGCCCAAGACAAAACCAGCCGGATATTTAATTAAATGCTGTAAAAGGTACCTTAAATTTTGTTTTTGTTCTGAGTTTTTCATTGTGCACACAGAAAAGAATCCCCGGAAATTTTGGGTGTTCGCCGTAAAATTTGACATTTATATATAAATTTCTATATACATTTTACCGGCAACACTTCAATTTTCCGGGCGATGACATATTTTCGAACATTTTATCAAATACTATGTATATTTTACCGCTTGAAATGACAGATGGCGCTAATTTCTGTTGGAATATTTGAAATTATGTCATCGCCCGGAAAATTCAAGTGTTGCCGGTAAAATGTATATAGAAATTCATATATAAATGTCAAATTTTACGGCGAACACCTAAAATTTCCGGGGATTCTTTTCTGTGTGTGAGCATCGTCCATTTCATTCAAATGTTTAAGAACAACAAAACTTAATGTTGATATGTTGAAATGTATATATACCTAAAATAACCATTTGTGAGCAGAAAAATATCCAATCGAATCGCCAATATTCCAAAGAGGGCCTCATTCCAAGAATAGAAATCAATTGCAAATTATTGTGATTGAACCGTTCCGCTCTAAAAACGAATTGGTTCAACGGCTCAGTCTCGGTTTTATTGGTGGCATCGATTGAAATTGAGCCCAACGCTCAATCCCAGATGAAACGAATACATTGTATGAGTCAATCAAATACATTTGAACCGGCCTTACTAATGAGATGGTTTCATTGTTTTGGCGTAGGCGTTCCATAGGCGCGCTCGATTTTGATGCATGTAAAGCAGCAGTTGCTTTCTTTCAAAGAATAAAAAGTGTGTGGATCCGAGGCTCGATGCGGCCAACCGACCGCACTCAATCCATCTTGTGTGCTGTGAGTCATTTCAACAAACCACATGTGCCTTGTAGGTTAGCGTGAAAGAGAGTATCTAATTTGGTGATTGAGTGCGCATTACTTTGTGCTTCTTTTTTTTTGCTTTCAAACAATTCTTAAACTTTATTGCTTGTTCTGTGCATTTTCATCGTTGTTATGGTCGGTGCGTGAGGGTGTGTGAGCTCGTAAAGTGTTCAACAGCCGCAAAAATCTAGGTTAAAAATATGTTTATGTTGATGTTTTTCCAGTGTTTTCTGATGGCCGGCGTGTGCATGTGGTGGTATGTGTGTGTACTGTACATGGAGGGTTTTGCATCGTCATTCACGTGGCGCATTCCATTCATCGACTTAACTTTCGATACATTCAAACATTTTTACAACTAACACAAAACAATTTCGATTGTTTTTTTACGTCCTATTTAACCAAAACCATTCGCATAATTGACGCACGGGATTAGTTTTCTAGGTTGATTACAGTCACCCAAGCATTTATATTAATAAACGAAATTTAGAGCATTGAAACTTTTTTTTCTTCCGCTCTCTTAAGCTCTTGACATATAAAAATTAATTTCTCAATCAAGTGCAATTCAGGCTTTGGTACTACGCGCGCCAAAAGTAACATCGTACATATATGTGATCTTATGTACATGGGATTTTTTACGGCAATGTTTTTTTTTATTTTCTTCTTGATATTTTGATATTTTTATGTAATCCTATTTCATTTATTTCATTCCAGATATCACCCGCGCGCACACACAAACTCATCCATCTATTGCAGCAAAGTGTTACATTCATCAGCAGATGAGAGCACACACGTGGAAGTGAAACAACCGACACCGTATTTCAGATGAAGCTTTTGCAATCAAATAGAAAGTAGCGAAAACGAGTTGCAAAGAAATCGAAAATAAATGGAAGTCATCTATTTCGGTGTGGCTTGAGCAACTTTACAGCAATCAAGAGAAATAACAGATGAAGAAAAAAAATGGATGAAAAACTCGACAACGAAACATATGCAATTTTTAGGTTTGACATAATTCAACGGCGAATATAAAAATACCAAAGACGAAACGAAAAGAGAAAGCTTTTTGTTAACTATGCAATCAGAGCAAATTACACTGCATTGTTGACTAGTGAGAAAATAAAGGACATTCACACGAACTCACACAAACACGGATTATAATTCTGTGACAACAAAAAAACCACGCCAAAACAGAATATTTGATCAAAAGGTTACTTTTTTGGAACATACAAAATTGTCAATCCATCTCCAGAAGAGGAAGATTCACGCGGGGCAGTAGTTTATTAACGTAGCGAATTTACATGTTTTTGAATGGATAATGGGAAAACTCGTGGAAACACATGTATTTACAGCAAATAACGCCACTGTTGATGCAACACCAGACACTTGGATCGACCATGGTTAGTGATTGCGCCGTTTAAGAAGGCAAACAGCGGCAGCGGCAGCGGCAGCGACAACGACGAGGACGACGACAATCACAGTTAGTTCGAGCAAGTGGCGCGCGCGAACATAGACCGAGAACGAAACGGAGAAAGTTCAATTTATTTCTCTGTTTGCATCGCCTTCCTTTTCAGTTGGAAACAAAGGCAAGGTTGAGGAATGTGTACGTAGAATTATTTTTGGAGCAAGCGTTAACAAATTAATGTGTCGGATAAGTTGGATTCATGAGCGCAAATATTTACGCCAATTTTCTCCTTGAAAAACCTATTTGTCTTCGTGAGGTGTAGCGGTGCCTGAGGCAAAGGGAATGCCGAATACGAGAATGGGTTGTTTGGCGGTTGGTGTGACAATTAATAAATAATGCTAAGTTGTTCTCTTTCCTTCTTTTTCTCTTTCCATTTCACACACACACTCACTCGCTCGTTCGCTCGCTCGCTCTCATCGAAATCACTCCTTGTTGACTCTGCCACTGTGTGTGTGTGTGTGATTTCTTGATCTTTCCCCGTACACGCTCCACCAATTAGATTAAAAACTTTTGGTTTGAATTTCCACCAAAAGTACAACCGAATGATGGTTATTATTTAAGAGAATGATTCTTGGCACATTCCACAAGTTGAAAAGCTGCCAGCTGAAGTTCCCAAGCATCGACCAAACTTTGATTTTAATCGCTTGCGCGAGGCACATTTAATTAATTCATACGCACCAATTTTATGCAGTAAAAAAGGGAAGATAATATAAATTTTGTAAAGTTCCCACACTCGTTTTTGCACTTCATTAACTCCTTGCTCGTTCTCTTCCTTTCCCGCTGTCGCTCTTGCTCTTGCTCTTGCCATTGTTCTCCCGTTCGTTTGTCCCACCGCTGTGCAACGCAGTAAATTTCCAAGCTTTAAATTCCATTAATCGTAATTTTTCTTTGGTATCTTTTGTGCTGTGGCGTTGGTTTAAATTTGTAGATCTGTCGTCGACGCTGTCGTGGTCGTTGCCACCCGACGATGAACTTTTCAAGAACTACCCGGCCGGGCTGCTATATTTTGCAACAGCTGCATGCATTGTCTTCATTCTGCTCGGAATACCGGGAAATTTAATTACAATTATTGCTTTGGCTAGGTGTAAAAAGGTAAGTGATGATTTTACTCTCACTCTAATTAAATGCCTGCTGCAATTTTTATGCTTTAAAAACCCCGCTCGGTATTTTTTTTTTGCTGTTGGCGACGTGGATGAATTGTTTGGTGTGGATTTTTTTTTAAACCAAACCTTGCGTTAACAATCATTGTTAGCAGTTTCAGGGAGATTCACTGCGATTCACCATTTGTAGAAATTTCCATTTTTAAAAAAATGGCTACAGTATGTGTTACAAATGTGATAATATTTTTTCCAGGGTCTAAATGCTAGCAAATCCATGCTTCAGCAATTAAACACATTAAACACAATTAAATTATTTAAAAAAAAAACTGAACAAAAAACCGTCGTAAAGATAATAGCCAGCCAACGTGAATCAGGACATATGCAGTGATTTGCTTGGCATTCGGTTAAATGAACGATTACATTTTGGATGCTGGAAATGAAGCGAATGTCCGACGTAATGAATGTAATCATAGAGAAAGAGAGGGAGAGAGGGAGAGAGAGAGAGAGAGAGAGAGAGAGAGAGACCATGCAAAATGCCATGGAGGGAGGAAAATTAAAGAGCATTAACATAGTTTTGCAACACACATTTTTGGTATGCATGGTACACATGCATTTGAACGGTGCATGTGAATGTGGATGTGAATGTTGAGCAATCTGTGGCGTGCCATGTATTTTTGGGGCAATTTGAAGTCGATGCATCCGTCAAACGTTCACATAACTTATTAAATGTGATGATACAATTTTATGCTTTGGTCACAGGTTTTTTTGCTTTCTACCAAAAAAAGATGTCCATGCCATGGTATGACATGGCAGAGCGTTCGTCATCATGATGTTGCAACATTGACGTTCATTTTAAAATGCACATTCGAATGCATCGTGTTCGTGCGAGATAAACCACACCAATTTGCAATGATTTCACAGGAAATGATACATCTGGCTTCGCCAAAAACTTTGAATACAAAATAGTACTCGCTGAAGCAGTTCATAAATCACAGATGTGATTCGATAAAACTGCAATAAAATTCATTTGTTCAACCGAATCCTGATTCAGCGAAAAGTTTAACGAAGTCATAAACAAACCAAATGCTTGCACAACGCTTCAATTTTCGGCCAAGGCACTTTGAATTCACAGCGGCGAAAAAAAGGCCAACAACTTGTCGTTTTTCATTAGTTTCGGTATTTTCGCCTTGGTAACTAGATAATAAATATGTAAAAGTTTTCGGTTGAAAGCGTTTCGGTATACTATCACCAACGAAACTTAAATATATGGGAAACCGAATTTCGACCGAATTTATCTCGCACACGAAACAAGAAAATACATTTTCGCTTGAGCTGCGATGTGAAAAATTTAATTAAAAATCCTTTTGCAGCTTTCGAAATTAATCAATTCGGATATCATGCCATTTTTAGCTACACAATTTGCACGCTATCGAATCGTTCTTCACTTTCGCACTCGACTCGTGTTTTAACTCAACTTGACTCTCTCTCTCTCTTTTCAGTTGCCATTGTCACTACAATAAGTGCAGCTGCTTGTTGCTGCAGCATATAGTTTGTGAGAAGAACTACTTAACAAGAACCACTTCTAATGGTAGCAATGTTTGTTCGACGAAATTAAGTTTTCATTTCCTTCATTTGTTTTAGCTTTCAATTACATTTCGACTGCTTGAAGTCCAAGTCCACACATTTGCTCCACAATACGGTTAACTTGAATAAATACTCACATTTTTCCGCATTCTCACCAAAATCTATCCACTCAACTATCCGTTGTGATCAGTGCTCTCAAGATACAATAGAAAAGTAAAAGTCAAGCGAAATTATTCGAACCAAAATCATTACGCTTGCGAAATATTGTTAAAACTTACATCTTCCCTCTAACGAACCAAATGCGCTCCCGTTTCGAGGAATTAAAATTTCATCGAAGCAAAATGGCTTCAGTCATCGCTGTTTCATTACTTCTTTGATCGCTCAATGGAAATAAGATGCAATAATCAGCGTAAATCGCAGCCATGAATGAAACAGCGATAGATACTCAATATACGCTCATAATTACAACGGAAGACACCCCGAATGGGATTTTAAAACGGAAAGAATAGGACAGACTCTATAGTTTGTTTTCGCTGTGTTAAGTTGTTTTGCATGGCTCAGTGTTTTTGCAAGGGCGCTTTGAAAATGCTATTCCCGTTCTAAACTGTTTTTATTATTCGATTTGACGAAATGAAAGAGCTAAAATTAGATTGCATAAATTAATTCTGAAGTTACGTGATGTAAATGTGCGACAGTAAAATTACAGCACAAACCATTTTAATAAAATCGTCGCATGACAAAGTATTCCCCCCCCCCCGCGCAAAGCAAATACTTTTGAAGATTTATATAAGCATTCAGATGCTTATTTCCACCGTTTCCGCCTCCACGGTCAATAGTCTTCGCATTAAAATTTCCTAAAAGAATGAATACATTAGCAATCGGACAAGAGTGTCGAACGGCATCTGGATCCGCATGCAAATGTCTGTTTCGAATGTAAATGCTTCGCAAAATGTTCGATTGAATGTCAAACATTTCACGTTATCTCCAAAATGATGAATGGGAAAAATGAACATCGATTTCGATACAAAGCACACGCTCGGGTGACCCGACTCGCTCTTCATTTCGCACGCATCGTGCTGTTTGCGCGTCATGGTTTTGGTGTGAAGCAAAGCTTCAAATGTTCATCAGAAATAAATGAATTAAAAATATTCCGTTTGAATTTGAAATTTTCAGTGACTTTTTCTCGCAATAATCAATTCTCCAATCGTGTTTCATGCACCAGGAAAAAAATCGATTCGACATTTTCCATTCCGCATCGCTTCGTTGGTTTTAACATTTACAACGGATGTTTTTTAGCTTTGGTATGCTGCTGGGGGATGAACACCACGATTAAAAAGCAGTCATTTCGTCGAAATGCCATAACTACACATATTAACATTCGATGACAAATGATTCCAGTGTCACAATGATGTTTTGTCATCTCTGGCCTCAGAATGGTCATTCGCCGCTTGATAACGATTCACACAAATGCCAACAAAAGCCATCATTCAAGCGGAAGATAATTGTTGCAAACAACTGTAAAACAAAAGCAGTCAACAAATCGTAGATAACAATGACAAATGTTGCATTATTTTATGTTCAACCCTCCGGAGATTATCTATTCAAAAGCGATCGAAACGCTGTGTCTAGTTTAAATTTGTTTGGCTCGTAACGTGGCGTTTGCGAGCCGCATGAAAAGTTTCTCATCAATTTTTTCTGTTCGTCATTTTTACGAATTGAAATGCGAAAATACGAATGGAGGCAGCATCACGCATTAAAACCCAGATGTTTCTCAATTCGTATTTTGACGAATCGTATCGGTTACGGAACGTGAGCTATAGCATCGCACAACTTTCGTTTTTCCTCCGATCATAGCTATATAAGTGACAAAAGGTCGATGAAACGTACAGTGGATGTAACGGATTTGTTTGGAAAAAAACCAGGCAGTTGTCGCTTGGATTTGTTTGGAAAAAAACCAGGCAGTAGTCGCTTGGAATACCAATCGATGCTTTTGAACAGATGCCATTTCTATTTCTCATTTATATAACCATTTGGTGACAGACCAAGGTGCACACATAATAAACATTAATACTGAAAGGCTTTCCACTTGATTTTTCCATCTTCCTTCGACGATTTTCGCAAAAAATGTAGAGCATTGAGATGAATGGAAAAATTCCATTTACAGTTTCATGGCTTGTATGTGGACTACATCAAACACAGATAAAATATTGACACAGATAAAAAATAAAACGCAGTTTTGTTAGAAATGAATTTTTCATCGCCACAAAATCGTCACATTTATTTCCCAGGACTCGAATATTGTTCCAAGAAAAATGCTTTATGAACACTGTCGCAATTTAATATGGTGTTTATACTGGGATCGCTGAATGTGTAAATCAATCTTATGCAAACGGCTTCCTTTTGTTATGATAAAGTAGTCTTTATCAATTCAGGCCAACAAATTATGAATAATAGAAAAACACTTGTATATTGACTGGCACAACGTATGCGCTGCTGAGGCTGCTGCTTCTGCTGTTGGGCTGTTACCGCATGCAATCAATATAATATATATATATCATGTAATTGGCATTTATTAATTTGATTTCATGCTTCAAGTAAATCATCCGGAGTCGTTTTGCTTCCTTTTGTTATGTATTACGAAAAGGTTTTTCACACCGAGCCTCTTAACACAGCAAAAGTTTATTCCACTCGTTTCGTCATGTAACGCAATACATTTTTTTATGATTGGTAAAATGTTTATCGCTAGCAACCCGAATGCTAACGAGCTCCAATTCGCACCTTAATAATATTCAACCGCATTAATAAGCATTATTCATGGTGTGCACGTGCACTTGTTACCCATTTCCGTTCCATGGCTTTTATTTATTTGTATAACTTATTTTCCGATTTTTTTTCTCACTGCCAAATTGCCAATTCAATCAGTATGGTAATGAAATGGGTCAATCCTTTTTCTCACGTCTGTCTACAAATTATTGCTAACTCAATTATATTTCTAAAGAACATTATGTTTGGGCTATGTTTGTAATGATTTGGTTCATGTAATTCGCATTCGAAAAACACGGAAGAAATGCTAGGGGAACATTTTTCCGGAAGTGGAATTGAGAAGGAAAGTTTGTAAACGAGCTGAAAAGTGGTTTTCTCAAAAAACCCCTTTGCGCAAACTAGATTTCACCTTGTGAAATTTGATGCAAGTCATCCATTTAAAGGTGGTAAAGAGTTGCGTGTGTGTGTGCCTTTAAAATGGAAATGTTTTTCTAGGCTTTGTATACAAAATAAAACCGATTGAACCGAAAGAGAGGAAAAGCCACAGAGCATGAATACCAAGAATTCCGCTTATGTTTTTGTGTATATATGATGTAATCTAGGTAATTACATTTTTTTCGGTAGACTGGAAAACCTACAGCTTTG